TAGGTATAACAGCATCTTAGGAACGAGGAAGTGGAGAGGTAGTCATAGATCAGACCACCATGGGCCTCGTGTGTCAGCTAAATATTAAGATTTTATCCTGGGGGTGCCTGGGTGGCTCAGTGGGTTAAGCCTCTGCCTTTGGCTCAGGTCATGATCTCAGGGTCCTTGGGATCAAGCCCCACATCGGGCTCTCTGCTCAGCAGGGGGCCTGTTCCTCCCCCACCCCCCGCTCTCTGCCTGCCTCTCTGCCTACTTGTGATCTTTGTCTGTCAAATAAATAAATAAAATCCTAAAAAAAAAATTATCCTGAAAATGCAGAGGAATTTCATTCATTATTAGACATGGTCAAAGTTGTGGTATAGACGGATTATTCTTGTAGCCATGTGAAGACTGCTAAGTGGTCAAAAGTCCTTTGTTGTAGTGCTAAGGAGCAATAATATGGGTTTTGACTAAAATGGTGACCCATGGGGATAGGCCTTTTGGTCACAAGCATTTTGAGAGCTCACAAATTTTCTTTCCTGCTGTTTCAGAAAGAATTGTACTTCAGTTTGGCATGGAGATGCTTCAAGCTGAAACTGCTGCTTCTTCCTAGAATTTTGACTTTGACCTTCTAAGCTAAGTTGTAGAAGTCTCTCTACATCAAGATTATAGTTCTTCTCCTAAAGCACATTGCATTCATTATCTTTTTTGATCTTCATAGAAACTCCATGAGATCGTTACCATTTTTACTCCATTTTAAAAATTAGGAAAGTGATGCCCAGAGTGGTTAAATAGTTTGCCTAATATTACTAGAAAGAGATGACATGATACTTTATGTGGAAAACCCAAAAGACTCCACCCCCAAATTACTAGAACTCATTCAGTAATATTACAGGATACAAAATCAATGCAGAAAAATTAGTTGCTTTGTTGCTTTCCTATAAACTAAAAATACAACTGTAGAAAGAGAAATTAGGGAATCAGTTCCACTTACAATAGCACCAAAAACCTTAAAATACCTTGGGATAAACCTAACAAAAGAGGTAAGGGATCTATACTCTAGAAACTACAGAATACTTGTGAAGGAAACTGAAAACACAAAAAGATGGAAAAACATTCCATGCTCATGGATTGGAAGAATAAACATGGTTAAAATGTCTATGCTGCCCAGAGCAATCTATACTTTCAACGCCATCCTGAACAAAATACCAACAGCATTTTTCAAAGTCTTGGAACAAATAATCCTAAAATTTGTATGGAACCAGAAAAGACCCTGAATTGCTAAAGGAATGTTGAAAAAGAAAAACAAAGCTGGAGGAATCACGTTGCCTGATTTCAAGCTATATTACAAAGCTGTGATCACCAAGACAGCATGGTACTGGCACAAAAACAGACACATAGATCAATGGAACAGAATAGAGAGCCCAAATATGGACCCAGAACTCTATGGTCAACTAATCTTCGACAAAGCAGGAAAAAATATCTAATGGAAAAATGTCTCTTCAATAAATTATGCTGGGAAAATTGGGCATCTATATACAGAAGAATGAAACTAGACCATTCTTTTACACCATGCACAAAGATAAACTCCAAATGGATAAAAGACCTCAATGTGAAACAGGAATCCATCAAAATCCTAGAGAAGAACATAGGCAGTAACATTTTTGACATTGGCCACAGCAACTTCTTTCAAAACATATCTCCAAAGGCAAGGGAAACAAAAGAAAAAATGAACTTTTGGGACTTCATCAAGATAAAAACTTCTGCACAGCAAAGGAAACAGTCAACAAAACAAGGAGACAACCCACAGAATGGGAGAAGATATTTGCAAATGACACTACCAATACAGGGCTGATATCCAAGATCTATAAAGAACTTCTCAAACTCAACACTCCAAAAACAGATAATCAAGTCAAAAATGGATAGAAGACATGAATAGACACTTTTCCAAAGAAGACATACAAATGGCTAACAGACACATGGAAAAATGCTCCACATCATTTGCCAATCAAAACCACATTGAGATACCTCCTTACACCAGTTAGAATGGCAAAAATTGACAAGATAAGAAGCAACAAATGTTGGAGTGATTGTGGAGAAAGGGGAACCCTCTTACACTGTTGGGAATGCAAATTGATGCAGCCATTTTGGAAAACAGTGTGGAGATTCCTTAAAAAGGGCTCAAAAAAAAAAAAAAAATATAGAGCTACCTTATGACCCAGAATTGCACTACTGAGTATTTACCCCAAAGATACAGATGTAGTGAAAAGAAGGGCCATCTGTACCCCAGTGTTTATAGCAGCAATGGCCACGGTCGCCAAACTGTGGAAAGAGCCAAGTTGCCCTTCAACAAACGAATGGATAAGGAAGATGTGGTCCATATACACTATGGAGTATTATGCTTCCATCAGAAAGGATGAATACCCAACTTTTGTATCAACATGGATGGAACTGGAGGAGATTATGCTAAGTGAAATAAGTCAAACAGAGGACAGTTATCATATGGTTTCACTCATATGTGGAACATAAGGAGTAGCATGGAGGACATTAGGAGAAGGAAAGGAAAAATGAAGGAGGGGAAATCAGAGGGGGAGATGAACCATCAGAGACCATGGACTCTGGGAATCAAACTGAGAGTTTTGGAGAGGGAGGTGGAGGGATGGGTGAGCCTGGTATTTCATGGAGCACTGGGTATTATACACAAACAACGAATCATGGAGCACTATATCGAAAACTAATGATGTACTTGTGACTAACAACATAATAAAAAATTATTTTAAAAATATTGCTAGAAAGAGCCTAAACTATATTGTTTTACTTAAGTCTGAATTACTATCTTGATACCATCTTGTCTCTCTTATGGCATAACAGCTAGTATTTACTGAGGAATTGCTGTGTGCCAGGTACTGACTGTTCTAAGTCCTTTACATATTCTATCCCATTTAGTCATCTATACAACCTTCTGAGGTAAATAATATTATTATCCTCATTTTACAGCTGAGGAAACTGAGATACAGAGAACTTAAGTAACTTGTTTAAGATGCTACATCTGGACAAGGTGATTAAGACCAGTTAACTCTGGAGCCATTGCCTTGTACTACCTCTAATGGGAAGGCAATTATTTTGATTTCCAAAAGTATGGGGAGAAGGAAAACACTATGTTATAATTTAAAGCTCTTATTAAGTTTTATTAATATAAGCCTAATCTCGATGTGTCAAAATATTGTGGAGAATTTAACTATAAGCCACAAGCAGTACCAGATTTGAATGGGTCTCACTTGATTATTGATAACATACAATTTTGCTTCAATCTTTCCAAAGTGACTTCTTAGCATGGCAGAGTAGTCACAGGAGAGCAGGCCAAGAGGTAGGAAGCCAGGATTCTAATCCTGGTTCTGCCATAAATGGTCTTTGAGTTCTTGGGTGGGTCAATTAATTTCCTTAGACTTCCGTTGTTCCCATTTCAAAGATTCAAGAAATGAACTAGAGTACCTCCAGTGTCCCCACCCACTCTGTGATTCTCTCTTTGCCCTTTTTCCCCCCATTCCATCAGATACTGGATTCAAAAAATGACAGGAAATGTAAATAACAAAACACTGTAGAAGTGCAACAAATTAATTTTAATATTTCCAAAGATGAGGACAAGTAAATATAATAGAAGAACTAGGAATTATTTTTAATATTCTTTCTACTAATATTATAAACATAACTCATATTTTAGTCATTCGCTTATACATGAAAAAATCTAAATCTATGACTCTGTAGCTAGCATTCTTATTTAAAAAATAAGGTTTAAATAAATTAAACAATATGACTATGAAACAAGTACATAACTAAGAGAGGTAACACCTTGAAAAGAAATAAACTCTTGAAATAGTTTTAATATTTATCCTCTTGAAAGAAACAGAGTTGGGAGAACATGAATAGACAAAAGAAAAGACTGATATACAGAGGATTCTAGAAAACAGACAATTCCTTCTACCCTCCCCCCAACTAATTCTTTCTAAAAAAGCTATTTCTTTATACAAATTTGTAGATAAGATAAATTAACTAAGTTAACAAAATTGCTTTCACCTGTTTTAAAATCTTCCTCTCTCTCCAAAGGAGTGGTTCCTAGCCTGGAGGGTAGGGTGATACAGTTTTTTGTTTGTTTGTTTTCCTACTTCCCAAAGGGAGTTTTATAGGAGCCTGACAGTATTTGTTCCATTTGTTTAAAGGATGATACAGATGTGCGCCTGGGAAAATTAGCCCATATTAACATTTCTTGGTTTTGCCCTTAACTGAAGGGCTTGATAATAATAGCTTAGAAATTCTGAGCTCTGTTAACCCCCATATGAACTGAGCAGTTCAGCAGGATGAAACCTATTTCAGTACTCCATGTGACACAGGAGGAAAGGTAAAGTGGAGCTAATGCCCCTACTTCCATGGACTGGTTGGCGTTGCTGAGAGCAGCCTCATCAGCTAGCCTCCAACATCTTCTTTTAGTGTCTCCTACCCTCACCCTTTTGATTCTACTTTCCTTAAGAAAGCCATTGTTGACTTTCTTACTAAATTTCAGCCAAGGTGCTAGGCATTGAGACTACAATTATGAAGATGCTGGCTCTGCTCTTGAGGGCTCAACAGTCTAAAGAAAATGCTGTCTTTAGTACTCTGACCCATTCCCATCTCACTTCCTCCTTCTGGGCCAAAGTAACTGTATCTCTAAGAGCAAGGGGCTGCCTGAGAGGATTTCTAAGATTATTAGGTAGGAAAGCACCCACATATCTGTAAGTTATGTAAGATGGAATAAAATTTATGGAACCAGACCTAGGTATAGAGGGTTGAGTGTTGAGTGGTGACAAGATCCTGGCCCCAGCATTCTTAATTTCTGGTGCTCCTCCTCTGCCAAAAAAACAGGGATGAGGGGTCTAATGATCCGTGACCCCCAGTGGTTAGCAGCCTGGGCACATGTACACACACAGACTTCTTGATATCTTGGTCCTTCAGGACAAGAATAGGTCACCTGAAATGTCCATTGTTCTTTATTCTTTCATTTCACTGAAGGAGCAGTAGCTGGGCCCCAAGCCTCTCACAGTGCAGTCAGTGCTGTCACTGTCACACTTGCCACAGTGACATTCAGTGGCTACTGGATATGTATATAGGGACTCAGCCTGGTTAGCACAGCCAGGCACTTTCATGGTCTCATACACCAGCTCTTTGAAGGTACATGTTTTCTGGATGTTGGGCCTGGCTGGGTCTTTGTACACTAGATCCTGTGGAATTTAAAAAGGAGAGAGTTAGGCTAAAATATTCCCGAAGTTTCTATTTAGTGTAATCAAAATGAGATGGGAATTTAATACTGCTTGCTCTAGCATTTACCCATTAAAGCTCACTTAAGGAATTCCTAACCAAGGAAATATCTCATAAATGTCCTATATGCTATACTATATTTCTTGGTTCTGGAAATCTTACAGAATATATATCATTCCTTTTATTACTCCTTATGTCTACATCAAATCTTAAATATTTCTCAAACTATAGAGAAACTTTAAATATCAACATAGAAAAATGATGAAATAGAGCTATAGCAGAAATTTTAAGCTGATTTTTGTACTTAGTCGAAAACTATGTTAATGACAACATAAACCATAAAACACTGAAGTTCAGTTTCTCAGAAAATGTTTCCAAATATATTGTCCCTGTGTGTTTATAAACAGCCAAAAGATCTAAGAAGAAAGGGCAATGCTAAGCTTAATATGACTATGAGGTCACATGGCAAATTTTAAATATTCCACTGTCTTGTAGGTATTTCCTTCCCCTAAATGCTGTATATATTTTGTAGGTCTATCAGTTTCAAGGTATACACAGTTTGCATACGAAAACTTTTAATCCAGGTAGGACAGGTCTGTTCCAATGGTTTCTAGTAAAATTATTTGTATCAAGGGAAGAAATTGGCATTGATGTTTAATTTATTTCAATATCATGCTATCAGGTCTGTTGATGAAACTCATTTACCACATAATAAAATATATTTCATTAAGAAGTTGTTACTTTCAATTTCAGTTTATAGAATGAAATTTTGCCTGGATTACCAGGTGTTCTAGGAGAAATAAGTAAAGAAAACAAAGCAGAAACTTTTCTTGGATTAATACCAAGAATCTGTGTGAAAATAAGCTAGTGGTTTTATGCTTCTATGCCTTGGTTTTCTCAATGGCATGAAGAAGCGAGTGGGTTCTCTGATTCCTTTTCTAGTAGTCTGCAAGTATGGACTGTGTTCTGAGGGTGCTCGTTGCCATTTGTAATCGGGTGGGCAAATAAGACATTTTTTATAAGTCTATTTGTGTTTTTATGTGGCTTGGAAAAATATGTTTTGATACTATCTCTGTTGCAAAGATATGGCTTCAATTACAGAAAATGGCTTTTGGGGAAAATGGTAGGTCTTCTATTGTTAAGTATATGTATGTTTACAAGTTTCTCTCTCTATATGTAAAATCTATCCTAGCACTACTTTCTTTTTGGAAGTGTAGAGTTGGCATATTGCCAAGTTGATCAGATCAAATCTGATGCTTTGTTAGATTTACTCTATTCAAATCCAAGCCCAAACATCTAACTGATATCACAGTATTTAACTCCAATCATAACATAGACAGTATTGACTAAGGGACTCATGGCTATTACTTGGGAAGGTTAAAATATCCATCAAGTGGGAATTAATGAAGCCTGCCTTGGACAGACCCTTAGCACCTCACTTCCAGCAAAGCAGAGTTCCTACCCGGGTATAGCAGTAGCCGGCACACCATGTGGTATTGATGCTTATGCAGAAGCGACATTCCTCCTTTTCCACTGTGATGGTGATGTTGGTAAGCTCACAGCTCTTGCAGCAGATTGCTCTCCAGCAACAGAAAAGGAAGCAAAACTGGACTGACTTCATCCTGGGCTATAAAGCAAACAATTAAGGCTCATGAGAAAACAACCCCCCCGCCCCCAAATTATAATCATCTAAGTTGACCAAAGCAAAAATAATTGATCTGCCCATCCTCCCCTGTCACATTTTGTTTCAGCAATTTTTTTCCTTCCCTTTTCCCTCCCTTACTTCTTTGTTCAACAAACATTTCTTCTTATATTCCTTCTCCTTCATTTTTTTTTGTCAAGTAGACCCATATTACAGATAAAAACTCCAATATAATAATTTAAGCAGAGCAGTATCTGAAGATCAGAGTATTTAAGTGATGAACCTGAGGATGGTAATTGTGATAATCATATTTGTCCTTTCATTATCATTTTAAACACTATTTTTGTTTAAAAATAAAAAGGAAATTCTATACAATAAAATTGGTTCATCAGTTTTAGCATCTCATAAATACTATCATTTGCTTTTGTTCACCTTTGTTTAAAATAAGACTATTTCAAGAGGCCAAGTGAATTGGTCTATACAAAGTTTGGTTGCTTGCTAACAGTGACTACGGTGTATTAACTGTATTTAAGAAGCCAGGTTGACAAGTATAAACTGTCTACACAATAGTAGTTGAAAAAGGTCTAGATTTGTTCTCCAGATCCTAAAAAACCTATAATTTCAAAAGTAACTGTCACCACTTTTTAGATGCCAAGACTCACCTTCGGTCAGCTGTCTTATCTGGGGAGAGCTGTATACTGAGTCAAGTCTCAGTTCACCTTTTATACAAAATCATGTGCAACTAACACCTTGTGGATTTGTTGGGTATTAATAAGACCAATGTAAGCCTGAAGCTTGCTGTAAGTGAATCAGTGTTTAGGTAGACAGGGAGATCAAGCCCTTACTAAAGTAGCCTAAACGCAGTTGATCAGGAAAAATAATGTTACCAGAGATGATGATTTTGTACAAATTAAATTTGATATAGTAGCACACCCACTCCTTTACCTTGTCAAATTAAATGTGACTCTAGGTTTTTCTTTTGTTTTTAACTCAGGGAATTCAGAATCCTTTTCAAGTATTGCTTTAACCCTGTTGAGGGGGTACATAAAAAAGATATGGTTAATATATTGTTGTGAGAGCTGCCTGAAAGCTGTAAGGGAAGAAACAAACAAATGGGAAGACTTTCATGATCTTTCTCTCATATCTAAAGTATAAACTGTATTTCTCTTTACCTCCCATATCCAGGTCCCCTAATCTCAAATATTATTCTTTGATGCTCTACTTGTAATTCTTTAAATGTTCTGCTGATTTATTTCTCCAGATCATTGCATATGCAGTGTTTGTCCTGCCTGAAATATATTTGTTTCTTACTTGTGTTCTCCAACATTGCTCCAATCCCTGGAAAATTTCTCAACCTTCAACACTCACCTATGAGAATTTAGGATGGGAGATAGAGGTGAGCTTTAGTAACTACCTTGTTTGCAATCATTGGTATACCTTTGTTTCTCCCAATAGAGTATCAGCTCCTTGGAAACTGGGGTTGATTTGTTTAACGGATATTTATTATTTAAACAATGTGGCTGTAGAAAAGGAATAATGGTATTAATATCAGGATATGATATCAAAGATAAAATAGGCGTCAAATCATGTAGGTCCTTGGTTTTTGCTGTCTGTGACAGGGGGCCAATTGTGGGATTTTGAGTAGAGGTGTGACATGATTTGATTTAGGTCTAAAAGGATCCCTTCAGCTGCTGTTTTGTTAATGTACAGGAAGAAAGGGAGAAACAGAAAGACCTATTAGATGCTATTGTAGCAACCCAGGTGAGAAATGATATTTGTTTAGACTATTGTGATGGCAATGGAAATAATGGGACATAAAATTGATTCCGGATATAGTAGAGCCAACAGAATTTTCTGATGGAAGAATGTTGAGCATGAGAGTAAGAAGAGTTAAGAATGACTGAAGATTCTGGCCTGAGCAACTTGAAGGATAAACTTGTTATCAACTGAAATAGGAAGGCTGTCAATGTAGTAATTTTTGAGCAAAGATGAGGAGTTCCACATAGACATGTTGCACTTGAGATGTCTTCAAGACCTCTAAGTATAATGCTGAATCTAAATTTTGGAAGAAATGATATTGTTTGAAGGTATACATTTGGGCGTTGTCAACATGAACTTAGAAAGAGATTACCAAGGAAGTGAGTGTAAATAGAGAAGATGGAAGGGCCAAGCTGAGCCTGGTATACTCCAACATTAAAAGGTCAAGGGTAAGATGAAGGGTTTTTTCACTTCCTTCTTGAGAAGGGCCACTGAGGAAAGAGAGGAATAGAGAGAATGTGGTGTCCCAGAAGATAAAGGAGCGTATCCAGGAGTGACAGCTGTGCTTAATGCTGCTGACTGGTTAAGAGGAGGACTGTGAATTGTACAATATATGCAGCAAAGTGAAGGTCATTCATGTCCTTGGCTAGAGAAGTTTCTTTGGAGCGAGGGGAACAAAACCATGATTGGTGTGTGTTTAAGTTATTGGTAAGAGAAAAAAAAAAGTTGAATAGAGACAACTTTTTCTTGGATTTTTGATGTAAAGATGACCAAATAAATGGGTGATTCGGTAAAGTAGAAGTAGAGCAAAGATAATTTTATTTTGATTTTTATGTTCTAAGATAGAAGGAGTAACTGCATGTATATACGGTAATGCCAATGATTGAATAGAGAGAAAAAAATGACTATATTGGAAGAAGAGAGGAGAATCTCTGGAGTGTTCTTGGGTAGAGAGCTTATCCCAGTATCAGGCAGAAGGCAGAGCTTGTGCGTGGAGGTGCTGGAGGATGGTGCAAGGATGGTGGATGAATTGTTAAGGATTTGTAGAGAGAGGATAAAATTTCAGGAGTTGTCTAAGACTGGGAGAGGGATTGAGTTGACAATGGTGGATGTAGTACATTGCCTACTAGTTTTAAGGGCTCACTTGAGGTTTATGGTAAAAAAGTTAATAGGAGACCACTTAGTATGGATGTGCATTTTTGTTTTTCCCAATTTAACAGCATGGATTCCGGCTTATGGGTGACAAATAGTTGGATTTATCCAAAGTTATGATTTTATCAAACATGTGTGACAAAGATAAAACATAACAAAGTCCAGGATATTATGAGTATTAATTCAACATTTATGTAAGTGATATCTGGAATATAGAAATATTTTGAAATCCATTAGCAATGGGTAAGTAAGTACATTATCAAGGTTATAGAATTAATAATTAAATTTCATATGATACACATTAAATGAAATATATTCATGATTCCTGGAAAATTATAAATCCTTTTAATTTTCTAAAAGAATGCTCAAAATATTTGATTACACATTGTATTATGAAATGAACTCTTTATATTATCTATGTGTGTTCACAAAGTATATTTATGTAAATATATGTGAATTTAATGTGTTTTAATGACTAACATATATATAGTTGTATTTGTTCCTTATATACTCACTTTAAGATATGAACAGCTTCTTTTTGTTGAGCACCTACTAGATCCCAAGCATTTAACTAAACACTAAATACGTGATCACTGATCACATATAATCTTTACAAAAACTCTTTAAAGGTGTTACTGTTATTGCTTTTTGGAAGATTGGAAAACTGAGGATAAATGACTTGCCCAAGACTGTGGAACTTTAAAGAGCAAGACTGAGGCTCATACCTAGTTCTGCTTGGCTCCAAAGCAGAGGGCCACTCATTGACCCATGCTAACCTTGGTGGTTTAAAATGTTCTTGTCAATCCCTTTAGTTAGAGAGGGGCCAAGACTGAAGCCATTCAAAACTTGGGCAGATATTCCAAATGTCTGTGTTTATATTTCCATCCATATTTAGGTCAGAGGTCTCACTAGATAACCTGTTTTCCTTTGCCTATCAAGAGACTCCCATACCTTTCTCCCAATTCCAAGCCTCTTATAGCCTATCTGATTAGTTTATTTGATTACAGTATTTCCTAATTAGGTCACATTGCTTACACAGAAGTGTTGAAATTTTTTATTGATAAAAATATAGGGCTCTTTCTTATTTATCCTTGTATCCCCAATAAGAATAGAATTTCTAATACACAGTAGGCACTAACACACTTTTGTTGAACAAACTGAAAAACAAAGCCCTCATCGTTTCCCATTATGTTATGCTGGTCCATAGCCTGTTTGCTGTATCTGATGCATTCCTTGTTTTTGCTTTGTTCTGTTCTCTGTTTTCTGGGGTTTGGGGGTTGGGGGGGAAGACCTCTGCAGGCTACCTTTCCAAACTGCAGTGTCAGCAGGCTTTGCCTCTGTGGAAGAAATTTGGAGAGCAAAAAGAAAGAGTATTTCTCTCCACATTCTTCTTTTCTTATCAGTAGCTACTTTTTCTCCCTGGGTCCAGGTCACATCAAACTGCGCCTCTGTCAGTTTCCAGCCGCCACCTTCCTTCTGTGAGGGAACCCGTCTTGTGACTTGAGCTTCTGCAGGACGGTCTCATGTTTTGGCTCTGGAAAACCCACCTGTGGCCTCTAATCCTGAGGGTAAGCGGGACTTCCTGCTGTTATACTTGGTAATCAACTCTCTGGATTAAATTCCCTCTGTTTATGTATTGGGGTGATTTCCATTTTCCTGGTTGGAAACTGATAGCTTGGAAACCCTCCTTTATTTCTCGCTCCCTATTGGGTTTTAGTAGCTTCATATTTAATGAGATATTTAACATTATTCAGGGAGACCCTATGTAAAATTCTTACTTTATTGAAGGACCTCTCCACTTGAAGCACCTTCCCATTTCACAAAATCACATGTATTTTTTTCCTCTTCCTTGAAAGACAAAAGGTTCTGCTCCTTAGGCCTGAGATACATTTCTCATCTTTTCATCTAAGCTACTCCTACAAGGACTATTACAAAATTTCATTTAGATGTAGCTTCTTTTAGGAGGCGTTCACTTCCCCTTACACAGTATTCATTACTCACTCTCAGTCCAGTACTTTGTTTAGTTCCCAGTACTTATCTCAATGTTAACACTCATCACATTATATTTC